TTCTAATCAATAAACCTACGTTTAGTACACGGCACAAATGTTAATTGTTTTATTATTTTCAAGAAACAGGGTAAAATATTTTTGATTCAGGCCATTTTTATTAAATCAAGATTTGTACTACGATGTAACTTTAAATGAATATTTATTAATGTCGATTTCCTTGTTAATATCAGTATGCATACAACGTTGATGCCGTTACGCATACAACGGCAGATCTCTTTTCACATATACGACGACTAATCACAATCGACCCGTATAGAAATGATATCATCGAGAGCGTATGACGAATCATTGGCACTCGGCTCTTATCTTATCTTATCTGCCGTAACGCACTTCCGTTGCATTTGTACGGATTTACACCCTAGTCGCGCCTAAAGAAGTTTTACTTAAAAATATCGGTTCAGACGTTTTTGAGAAAACGTCGTTGAAAGGTCAAAAATCTGTTCACACATACACATACTTTTTCCTAGTTTGGTCTCATTCGATTAAGAATGGCTTAAACGTCGAGAAAAATAAAATAAGCAAATCAGATTTTTTGGCGAAACATAAACTTTTTCTTCAGGAAGTGTTTAAATAAAAACACTCCCTAAATATTAAATTAATTTAAAATTAAAATTTCCATTTTTCAGAATTAACCAATCCCAGAAACAAGTGGATAGTTTGGCTAAAAAAGAAGATGAAGTCATCTATTTGGGAATGACTAAATCTGAAGAAAACTTAAGAAAAGATAATGAAATGCATTATGTTTTTGCAGGATAATTTAATCTGAATATTGGCTAGTCTAGTAATAATTAATTTTATCGATATGACTAATAATAATTAATAAGAAAATATTTAATAAACTTGTATTTTTTAACAAAAAACTATACTTTCAGCAGATATATGTTTTCTCTATAATAATGTAATAATTTTCTCAAAAATAATTTGTTTTTTAACTTCCCGTATCTTTACGTTTCAGGGGTTTCTGAACATTTTGTCATACCTTAGAAAAAATAGATGCATGTGTGGTGTGTATGTGTATGTGTGCGGATACAAATTTTTGTCGACGATTTCGGAAACACGTGTTTCCGTTGAACCGTACGGTTCAACCGATTTCAATTATTCAAAAAACATTCGATTGCTGTTGATAGGAAGACGTGCTGATTAGTTTTTGGCATAGGCAGGTCTAGCCGTTCCGGAGATACGGGGCAAAAAGTGCCGAAAACGGTAACTCAGTTTTTAAGAGAACGGAGCGTCCGATTTTAATAATTCGAAAAGCATTTTACTTGTATTGACAAGATGAAGAACCGATTACATTTTCATGAATGCAGGTCTAGCGGTTTCAGAGATCTAGTAAAAAAAGTAAAAAAAAGTCATTCGGCGATCAAAAATGATCATTCATTATCAGATATTTTATAGAGATTTTAACAATAAGTATAAATTTTGTTTACATTCCTATGGGTTCCGTACCTATGTTTATCCGTTAAACCGCGACGCGGCGTTTACGCGCTTCGATATTTCGTCTCTATGCAGCTAAGGCAGTACGACTGCTTTGAAAAAAAGTTCAGAATTTCCAAAATATTTCAAAATAAAGAAGAAAATTTTTTTTCAGTTTTTTTTTCTAAAAAAGTAAATTTTTGTCAAAAATTTATAGTTTTTCAAAAATCTATTTTTTTCAAAAATGTTAGTCTTTTTACAAAAAAAATAATTTTTGGTACGGAAAGTTTCAGCAATTTGCCTTAAGGCACGATGCCATGCGTCTCACTAGTTAAATATCTTGTTCAGACGCCAAAAAGTAAATCAACTGTTTTTTTTTTTGTATAACGAAGAAAATGCATTTATACATCCCAGACTAGGTCTTTTGTCTGGGTATGTGGGACTCAATACTGCCTGGTTATAATACCGACTAAAACCTCCGCTTTGCCTCTACCTCTAGTCTCTACAGAAACCGTCGTTAGACATTACTTCGTGGGGGGAGGATCTAGAACGTTATCATTCTTATCTAGATTTTATATTCATTTTTTAAATTAACGAAGACCCATTCGCCCCCTCCATTGTCATAGATCGCAGGTCAATTACATCAACTAGGTGTAAATGGCATTTTGCCTTAGGGCAAGCTCAACTGTTTAATATAATTTAAACAGAGTTTAGCTTTAGATTTCTCAAAATCGGAAAGGATTTTTTGTTAAAACTCGGATGAAATATTTTGTACTTATCTGCTGATTATAAAGAAACGGCTCGACCGATCGTTATTACACGGGAGTAATAGCTTTTGAATTCGTGAAATCAGTGCAACCGTTTTTATAAAAATGTTGACGAAAATTCAAGTTTTGGCTCTTAAGCACGTACATACCTTTCCCAACATTGGTCTTAAACTTTTCACAATTTTATTTTATATATCGAGAAAATGAAATTAGCAATTTGGTTACCTTGCCCTTGCAGAAAAATGTAAAAAAATATTAAACTGAAATTTTTAATGATAAAATTACATTTCCTAATTGATTAAAGACAACTGCTCCATATCATAGAATGTTAAAAATACAATAAAACATATGGTGGGCAAAAAAAATTTTGGATTCTATAACTAAATATATATATATATATATATATATATATATATATATAAATATTAGTCAAGTTTAAAATAATATCAATAAAAAATTGCATAAATGATTTAAATGATGAGGAATATAATATTTCTTGATATCATATTTGTAATATCTTGTATTACTGCTGCTGACCAAGGTGCATGGGTATACTTAATTTACAAAAAATATGAATAAAAAAATTATGAAATAATATAATATGAAACAATTGCCTTGTTTATCAATAAATGCATGTTTAATGTTTATTATTATATATTTATAAATGTTTATTTATACTAATTATACATTCTATTATATGTAAGAATATTTTATAACAGTTTCCAAAAATGTAAATACAATTTAAAAAGATATTTTACTGATTTTGATCACGCTTCCTACTATGAATGTCCATGTGTCTCTTCAAAACTCTTGATAGATTCCTTATTGCATATTTAACATTCATAAGGACGCTAATCTATGAATCATCATATGTCTTTTCAAGGTACCTAATTGTGTAAATCTCTTATTGCATACATGGCATTCATAGGGACGCTCACCACTGTGAACGAGCATGTGTTTTTTAAGAACAACAAAATATGTGAATGTCTTCTTGCATACATTGCACTCATAGGGGCGCTCACCACTGTGAATGAGCATGTGAGATTTCAGAGCCCCCGATTGTGTGAATTTCTTCTTGCATATACTGCACTCATGGGGGCGCTCACCACTGTGAACGAGCATGTGTCTTTCTAGATTAGTTATAGTTATGAATGTCTTCTTGCATATACTGCACTCATGGGAGCGCTGACCACTGTGAATGAGCATATGATTTTTCAGATGACTTGTTTGTATGAATGCCTTATTGCATATACTGCATTCATAAGGACGCTCACCACTATGAATGAGCATGTGTCTTTTCAGAACATCAAAATGTGTGAATGTCTTCTTGCATAAATTGCACTCATGGGGGCGCTTACCACTGTGAATGAGCATGTGTCTTTTCAGAACATTTGATTGAATGAATGTCTTCATGCATATACTGCACTCATAGGGACGCTCACCACTATGAATGAGCATGTGAACTTTCAAACCGCTTACATCCTTGAATGCCTTATTGCATATGATGCACTCATGAGAGCACTCACCACTGTGAATGAGCATGTGTCTTTTCAAATTACTTAATTTTATAAATATCTTATTGCATATATTGCACTCATGGGAACGCTCACCACTGTGAATGAGCATGTGATTATTCAAATGAGGTTTAGTTTTGAATGCCTTATTGCATTCATTGCATTTATGTGGACGCTCACCACTGTGAATGAGCATGTGAGTTTTCAGAGTCCACGATTCTATGAATGTCTTTTTGCATATACTGCACTCATAGAAGCGCTTACCACTGTGAATGAGCATGTGATATTTCAGATGTCTTAATAGTGTGAATGTCTTATTGCATTCATTGCATTTATGTGGACGCTCACTACTGTGAATGACCGTGTGTGCTTTCAACCCTTTTGATTGTTTGAAAGTCTTTTGACAGATTTCACATTTGTAAGGACGTTCTTCACTAGGGTTAGGCATATGATCAACCATATGTTTTGTTAGATGATGCGATTCTGCAAATGATTGATTACAAATTTCACAATCGAAAGACTCCTGTTTGACTTCATCTTCAATTGTCACCTCGGAGTTCTTGAATCTTTCTAAACACGTATCATCATCCTCAGAACACGATTCAGATTTAACGATAGCATCAAGGTCATCAAATTCCTCTTCATTTTCGCGATTAATGCCTTCTGCTGAATATTCTGGTGGTTCAATTTTAATTGCCTGATCATTCACTGACATAAATGTTTCTTCTGACATTTTTAAATATTTTCACTGTTTGTACTCACTAAATATCTAAAACCTATTCGTATTCTAAATAATAATCTACTTCAATCTTTTCTTCAATAATTTCACCAAAAAAAAACACCACCTTAAATCATGCTAAGAATTTTGACATTTGCTAACATTTCAGCCTTCAAGTTGGCGACGAAATAGAAGTTAGCTGTCAAGTTGAAATGCATTGGATTCATAACTTTGACAGCTAAAACCTGTCAAGATCATTATTATCACAGCCAAACAAGTATTATTATTATTATTATGATTATTATATTGTCTGATAAATAATTTCACCAAAAAATACATTCATTATTTCAAGCATAGAGTAATGCTTCGATTAGACATTTGAAGCATAGAGTATGTTTATAGAAAGATGAGACAATAATCAAATCGCGTTGATAATTAACAAGTGGCGCGTTTTTTTCAAATAAATGATAATTCTCTTTATCTCAACAGTCTGCAAATGGTTTTATTATTAACAATATTAACATTAATATTAATTTTCCAAAAAATACTTTTTTCAAATATCGAAAATAATTCAGACTTTAAATTTTAAATTTAAAAATTCAGTATATGTAAAATATAAGATGAGTTCCTTCATTCTAGCACATAAAATAATATATTATGTAACAATTGCCTTTTTTATCAATAAATGCATATAATTTAACGTTTACTGTATATTTCATACAATTTGCACATAAATATTTAAATTCAATTTAACTGAAATGTTTAGATTCATTTATTTTCATCACGCCCTCGACTATGCCTGATTGATTAAATTCCTTATTGCATATTTCACATTTGCAACGTTCTCCTTTATGAATAAGCATGTGCCCTTTGAAGCTTCATAATTGTGTGAATGTCTTACTGCATATTTAACATTTATAAGGATGCTCTCTGTTATGAATCAGCATGTGCTTCTTCAGACTACTTAAATGTGCGAATGTCTCATTGCATTTATTGCACTTACAGGGGTGCTCACCAGTGTGAATGAGCATGTGCCTATTCAGATGCCTTGAACATGTAAATGTCCTTTTGCAAATATTGCACTCATGGGGGCGCTTCACCACTGTGAACGAGCATGTGTCTTTTCAGATCGTTTGATTGTATAAATGTCTTCTTGCATTGATTGCATTCATGGGGACGCTCACCACTGTGTATGAGCATGTGTCTTTTTAGTGTCCCCGATTGTATGAATGTCTTCTTGCATATACTGCATTTATGGGAACGCTGACCACTGTGGATGAGCATGTGTCTTTTTAGATTATTTATAGTTATGAATGTCTTATTGCATATACTGCACTCATAGGAACGCTGACCACTGTGAATGAGCATGTGAGTTTTCAGATGACTTGTTTGTATGAATGCCTTATTGCATATAATACACTTATGAGGCCACTCATCACCGTGATTGAGCATGTGTCTTTTCAGTGCACCTAAATGTGTGAATGTCTTCTTGCATACATTGCACTCATGGGAGCCCGTACCGCTGTGAATGAGCGTGTGAGATTCCAGATCCCTTAATTGTTTGAATGTCTTATTGCACTCATTGCATTCATAGGGACGCTCGGCACTGTGAATGAGCATGTGTCTTGTCAGATTCCCCATTTGTATGAATGTCTTCTTGCATATACTGCACTCATGGGGGCGCTCACCACTGTGAATGAGCATGTGTCTTTTCAGAACCTCCGGTTGTATGAATGTCTTCTTGCATATACTGCACTCATAGAAGCGCTTACCACTGTGAATGAGCATGTGATTTTCAAACGAGCTATAGTTTTGAATGCCTTATTGCAAATAATACACTCTTGGGGGCGCTCATCACTGTGAATGAGCATGTGTTTTTTAAATAAGCTGATTGTTTGAATGTTTTATTGCATTCATTGCATTTATGTGGACGCTCACCACTGTGAATGACCATATGTGATTTCAATCTTTTTGATTGTTTGAAAGTCTTTTGACAGATTTCACATTTGTAAGGACGTTCTTCACTAGGGTTAGGCATGTGATCGACCATATGTTTTGTTAGATGATGCGATTCTGCAAATGATTGATTACAAATTTCACAATCGAAAGACTCCTGTTTGACTTCATCTTCAATTGTCACCTCGGAATTCATGAATCTTTCTAAACATGCATCATTATCCTTAGAACACGATTCAAATTTAACAATAGCATCCAAATTCATCATCATTTTCGCCTTCAATGTCTTCTGCTGAATATTCTGTTGGTTCAATTTTAATTGCCTGATCATTCATAGACGTAATTGTTTCGTCTGACATGTTTAAATATTTTTAATGCTTATACTCATTAAATATTTACGAAATAATAATCTAATTTAATCAACAATGCTTTAAATGATTTCAACTAAAATTTAGTTCATTATTTGACATGTGAAGCATAGAGCAATGCTTTTAGAAAGATGAGACATTTACCAAAGCGCGTTGATATTTAGCAAGTGGCGCCCTTTTTCAAATGCATTATCGTTCTCTTGGCAATAAACGTCTTTATTATTAATTCCAAAATGATTATTACCTAGACAATAAATTAATAATAAATAATTTAGAAGAGAATTTATTAATTTCATGTCCTACATAAGATATCAGCTTTGTTTGTTTATTTCTAATCAAGATCATGTTCAAGAGCTGAAGATGGAACATTCACACCCTAGATAAATAAGCATATAGATCCGAAACGTCGACAATAAATAATAATTATCTGAAAAACTTTTTGGTTTTTCATTACTATTGAATTCCTTGTTTGAAACTCAACACATATATACAAATCAAAGATAATTCAATTTCATATAATTTGAAATTGAAAAATACACACAACTATATTTACCTCTAAAAACTATTTATTTCTATCAAGGAAATGTTAAGGTCCATCCTTAACATTTTTTCAAATTTTGGAATCAATTTTCTTTTAATTTTAATTTGCTTAATGCGGAACTAAATAATGCTACAATTCTAAATTTTCACCCTCCTTCCATAAATCTCTATTTCATAATAGCTATCTCAGTAGTCGAATAAATTTTCACCATACCGAGTGTTTTTCACTGAATTTTAATTCATATTTTTCTAACCTTATGATAACATAAACAAAAAAAGTATTAAATTATTATTAAAGTAATAAACATATGATTTTCAGATTTTAACGATCAAAATAAGATACTTTGCTGAAGAAACCATACCTCAAAAATGAATTCTGATGACCCGTGCATTGGCCCAAAGATAAGGGTTAAATTTTGAAAAACCCCTCAGGGGGGGGTGATCCAGATGCATGGATGGATCGGTTTTCCGAAGTTAGTGGAGGTCTGTCATACATTTGGACGCAATTGGGGCACTCTAAATGGGTCACAATAGAATTTTTCAAATTTTAACCCTTATCTTTGGGGTCAAAGCACGGGACATCAGAATTCATTTTAGAGGTATAGTTTCTTCAGCAAAGTATCTTATTTTAATCCCTAAAATCTGAAAATCATATGTAACTAGGAAACTTTTTTTGACCCTTACAAATCGACCCGCTCATGTTCATGCAGAAAAATTAAAAAAAATATTAAAATGGAATTTTTAATAATAAAATTAAATTGTTTCGTAATTGATTGAAGACAACTGGTCCATATAATTAATATATATAAATAGATGGTGGGCAACAGTCGATGGATTTTATAACTAAATGAATATACATTAGTGAAGTTTATAATAATCTGGCGACACCATCGATAAAAAATGGCATAAATGATTTAAAAAACCATACGTTTTAGTAGAATATAACATTTCTTGATATCATATTTGTAATACTTGTATTATTACTACTGAACAAGGTGGGTTGCTAATCTATAGATTACGTTATTAATAATTCATTTATAAAAAATGTGAATAAAAAGTTATAAAACTAGTGGGGTGTATGGCATCGTGTCTTAAGGCAAATTGCTGGAACTTCCCGTACCGTAACGAAATGTTCCAGGAATACTGAATGTTTTCAAATAGATTATTATTAATATTGTAACATTGTCTAATATTTATAAGAATTATCTAAACTGAATTGCAAAGTTGAAATTATTTGTTCAAAGTACATTAGAACTTTAGTCAGAATTAAAAATAAAATCTGAATTATTTTCGATAAACAAAAAATTTTTTTTTGAAAAAAAAAGTTGAGACATTTTTTTTTCCAAAATCAATTATTTTGTTAAGACAAGCAGAAAGTTCTTTGAATCATTGAAATCGGATGCTCCGTTCTCTCAAAAACTCGATTTCTATTTTCTGCACTCTTTGCTCTTTATCTCCGTAACTGCTAGACCCGCCTTCGTCAAAGTCGGTTAATCCGTGCGCCCAAAAACGTGACTGGAAATTTGTATCCATAGATACTCACACACACACATACACATCCATTTTTTCTGAGGTATACCAAAATGTTCAGAAACCTTCAAAACGTCGAGAAATGTAAAAATTTTCAATTTCGATTTTTGGACGATTACAATAACTTACCCTACGGGAAGTTAATAATATAATATGAAACAATTTCCTTGTTTATCAATAAATGCATGTTTAATGTTTATTATTATATATTTATAAAATATATTTTATCTAATTATACATTCTATTATATGTAAGAATATTTTATAACATGTTTCCAAATATTTAAATACAATTTAACAGATATTTTACTGATTTTCATCATGCTTCCTACTATGAATGGCCATGTGTTTGTTCAAAACTCTTGATACAGTAAATTCCTTATTGCATATACTGCATTTATAGGGACGCTCACCACTGTGAACGAGCATGTGACTTTTCAGATGAGATGGTTGTGTAAACGACTTCTTGCATATACTGCACTCATGGGGGCGCTTACCAGTATGAGTGAACATGTGATTTTTCAGATGGCTTAATCGTATAAATGTCTTATTGCATTCCTTACACTCATGGGAACGCTCACCAATGTGAATGAGCATGTGAACCTTCAAACCGTGTATATCTTTGAATGCTTTATTACATATGATGCATTCATGGGAGCGCTCACCACTGTGAATGAGCATGTGTCTTTTCAAATTACTTAATTGTATAAATGTCTTCTTGCATATATTGCACTCATGGGGACGCTTACCACTGTGAATGAGCATGTGATCATTCAAATGAGTTTTAGTTTTGAATGCCTTATTACATTCATTGCATTTATGTGGACGCTCATCACTGTGAATGACCATGTGTGCTTTCAGAGTCCACAATTCTATGAATGTCTTCTTGCATATACTGCACTCATGTGAGCGCTCACCACTGTGAATGAGCATGTGTCTTTTTAGATTACTTAATTGCAAGAATGCCTTCTTGCATATATTGCACTCATGAGAGCGCTCATCACTGTGAATGCGCATGTGTTTTTTCAGAGTCCACAAATATATGAATGTCTTCTTGCATATACTGCATTCATGGGGGCGCTTACCACTGTGAATGACCATGTGATATTTCAGATGCCTTAATAGTGTGAATGTCTTATTGCATTCATTGCATTTATGTGGACGCTCACCACTGTGAATGAGCATGTGATTATTCAGATACCTTAATTGTGTGAATCTCTTCTTGCATATATTGCACTCATGAGAGCGCTTACCACTGTGAATGAGCATGTGTCTTTTCAGATGAGTTACAGTTATGAATGCCTTATTGCATTCATTGCATTTATGTGGACGCTCACCACTATGAATGACCATGTGTGTGTTCAACCCTCTTGATTGACTGAAAGTCTTTGGGCAGATTTCACATTTGTAAGGACGTTCTTCGCTATGGTTAGGCATATGATCGACCATATGTTTTGTTAGATGATGCGATTCTGCAAATGATTGATTACAAATGTCACAATCATAAGACTCCTGTTTGACTTCATCTTCAATTGTCACCTCGGAATTCATGAATCTTTCTAAACACGTATCATCATCCTCAAAACACGATTCAGATTTAACGATAGCATCAAAATTATCAAATTCATACTCATTTTCGAGTTTAATGTCTTCCGGTGAATACTCTGGTGGTTCAATTTTAATTACCTGATCATTCACTGACATAAATGTTTCTTCTGACATTCTTAAATATTTTTCACTGCTAAATATCTAAAAACTATTCGTATTCTAAATAATAATCTACTTTAATCAACAATCTTTTTCAATATGATAAAAAATTTCACCAAAAAATACATTCATTATTTCAAGCATAGAGTTTATATATTATATTGTCTAGGGAGTAACGCTTTGATTAGACATTTGAAGCATAGAGTATGTTTATAGAAAGATGAGACATTAATCAAATCGCGTTGATAATTAACAAGTGGCGCGTTTTTTTCAAATAAATAATAATTCTCTATTCGCTCAGAGCGTGACTGCAGCGCCCATGCAGCGCCGGAATAAATATGAACTAACTAAGGCTATCAGTGTGTGGTTTTTATGGGTTTTATATGTTTGTTAAAGAAAAAAGATATTAAATAATTGTTATAAATAATAATAAACATTATACAATAATAATGTGAGCGCTCAATGTTTATTGAAATTATTAAATTTACTTCAACGCACTTAAAACATAGTTAAGTGTAATGATTAATTTAATAAAGAAATGCAGTAAACATTTTTAAGGTTAAGTGCCTTAAAGCTTATGTCATGAGCTCGGAATAGTTCTTGATAAAAACAATATAATAATGATAAAAATATTTTATCAATAGAATAAGTAAATAATAAATAAATTTACTCATTCTTTTATTATTTTTGTTCAAACTAAAGACTTAGACATTATTATAAAGACATGATTTAGGCATTATTATAAAGAGAAGACCCATCAAATAAAATTGCAGGAAAAAAAGCGACTTTAACTTTTCGAGTCTTGTAAATTGAAGGAAATATTGTTGACTAGTAGGTTGGACTCAATACTTCGTCCGATTCACTGCAAATGCGATCATAGGGCTTGGGAACCCACGGTGATCCATCAACACTACAAATATATATTTTGCATTATTTCAGCATTGTATTAATTAAACTGATTGTAAAATAAACATTTTACGCTATGTGATAACTTTTATTTTTCTTTTAATCATAAAATTACATTTATTATATAATAACATGTAATTAATAGATAGATAATAGTTATACATAATCAATATACAATATATAAATATATATTTATCATTATTTCAGCCTTGTATTAATTACATTGTTTGCAAAACAATTTTTTCTAGTAAGCATTAAATTTTGATAAAATAACAATTTATTGACTTAAAATTTTTCTTACGTTATGATACTTACTTTATTCTTCTAACCGCAGGAATCCACTTTTCCCGTTGATTTTCTTTCCACTTATCTGTAGGAAATGTATAGAATTTGCAGTCACTTTTTTTGCTCTTATTTCTACAACCCACTACACAACAGCTTTGGTGGCTCATTCTTAATTATCTTATTTAAATTTGAAATAAACAAATATTGTATGTGTTTTTCTTTAAAATTTCTGTCATAATGACCTACTTTAATGCTCAAAGTAGCCACAACGAACGCTTCGGTCGATTTGACTTCCCCTTCCATGCCTTCGCACATAGCCAATATCTCAGCAGTCTGCAAACGGTTTTATTATTAACAATATTAACATTAATATTAATTTCTCAAAAAATACTTTTTTCAAATATCGAAAATAATTTAGATTTTAATTTTGAATTTAAAAATTCGGTATATAAAAAGTATGAAATAAGTTCCTTCATTCTAGCACCGCTGGATTTAGTTTTCTTTATTTACTTTTTAAATATGTTTATATAAACGTCGTCCACCAATTCATAAGCTCTTATATTTTGTTTATAAAATGTGAATAATAACTACAGTAGTCATAATAATCTATTTGAACATTTAACAAATTATATTAATAATTATCAATATAAAAGCGTTGAAAATTTCTCAAATATTTCATTACAGTACGGGAAGTTTGAGCAATTTGCCTTAAGGCACGATGTCATACACCACTAATTTCTAATAATAATGGGGCGTATCTACGCCGTACGAAATAATGCGAGTATAAGTGAAGAAATCATATGGGTAACAAAGTGATTTTTTTTATATTTTCGAAATAAAATGCACGAATTGAAAAGTGGCTTTGTTGAAAAGATTCAATGAATAATCGTAGTCATAATTTAAATTAGGCTTGCACCGAACATTCGGTTACTATTAACGATTGTATAAATGGTTATATAAACGAACAAGTGAAGAACTCTTTTCTCAATATTCAAAGTATGCGTTATTGTTATATGTTTATGTTAAGAATCATTCAACGATTACATAAAGTTATTCAATATGTTTAATCTGAACATTTCTAAATAAAGAGATATTATAGGCTCTTTATCGTAAATACCAACAATATTTTTGATCAGGTTTCATTTATACTATTATGATTAGCCTTCCTAATATATAAGAAACTAGCAAACCCGACAAACTCCGTTTCGCCACCAGATGGTTTCGTGAGAAAGATGAAGAAATTTTTTGTTTCTTTTATATTTGAAAAGGAAAAATTTGATTTTATTACACAACAGTAATGAATTTATTTCGATTACAAAAATGAAGTGTTTTTTAGTTGGACTTCTATAAGTAAATGACAGTGAATCCGCAAATTATCCGTTTCATTGAAGTGCTCTTTGGTAAACCACATTTTTTGTTTTCTGGTCTGACGTTAACACAAAGAAAGCGGATGGTTTCCTAACTCGTGAACAGGCAACGTAAAACTGCCCATGTGAAAAACAATGATTTTATAAATAAATCTATTTTAAATTTATCCCGCAAACACTAAGCGATTTGCTTTGCAACTTGTTATTGCGAGCGCAAGGCGAACTGAAAATTGCAATCGTTTGAAGTCAAACGGAAGACCAGTCAGAATCATTGGTATGTCACCAAATCGCCAGCAATTTTTGATTGAATGGTGAAATTCAGTGCGTGTACATCATTATTCTTTGCGGTAAGAATTGCTCGTTGACTTAACCAAGCATAATTCTGATAATTCTCACTAATGTCATTACTCGAATTTTTAATTACGGTACGTGTAGTTCCAGAAATTTGCATTAAGGCACCCTAATTTTCTTAGCTATAAACCTTGCGGAGACCTTTCCAACGAATGCAAAATTGTCGAAATCGGTTCGTGCGTTCTGGAGTTAAATCGTCAGAAAGGAAAACCCGACTTATTTTTATATATATGTAGATAATATTGTGTTTATAAAATAGAATATTGAATGTTTATGAAAGAAATAATTTGAAATACATTTATATATCTGTAAAGAATCGCTTTTTGATTTATTTTCGTATCACATATAAGTATTCGGTATTCGTCCGAAAAGTGTAAATGGTGCCAAATTCTCCAAATAAGGAGTAACCGAATGGACGTAGCAAGCCTAGACATAAAAATAAAAATTTAACAACTGCGAATAGTATTTTCATCGATACGAACGAGTTTATGCTCTAAAAACCTGTCGAATAGTTGCCGAATATTCGGTATTCGGTCTCCGGAGCATGCAGAATATTCGGTATTCGGCATTTTGTCGAATATATTATTCGTTTCAAGCCTAATTTAAATTGTTTTGTTATTGGCCACAACACTAGAACAAAAATGTGTTGCCCAAGGGGGTATTCTAGTGTAGAGCGATTAATTTTAGGTATTTTTTGAAGTGTCGTAAAAGAAAGCAATGAATGTTTTTACTATCCATTTTTTACCACTTGTTTATTAATATTATTAAAATACAAAACAAAAATTAAAAAAGAAAAAAGTTGAAAATTGTGAAAACTGGCAGCTGATGACGTGGGTGGTCTCAAAAAATTGGCACCACAGTCTTAACATGATTTCAGCCCTCCTAGCCATCGGAAAGACAAAAAATAAAAATATTAATCTACAATGATGTCGCAAGCGCCCGAACTAGCGATGAGTAAAAAAAATTTTTTTTACAAATTGGTGACGGTTTGAAGAAAAGTGTTTTTTTAACTGTTTTTTGAGTTTCTCGATTTTTTCAAAAATAGTAAAAATTGGAAATTTAGGGATAATCCTATTTCGGGCTATAGATAGGTGTATAAACAAGACTCTCTGAACATTTCAAGTGAATCGGCCGATTAAAACTCGAGAAATCGTGTCAACAGGACTGAAAAAGTCTGTTCTGAGAAAAACGCATATAAAGTTTTGCGTAAAGCCAAACCAGTATGGAAGGCCAAGTCAGTAAAATGCCTATATCTCCGAAAATATTTCAAATTTTCAAAAACCTTCTCGTACTTATATTCTTAGATAGTTAAACTTTGAAAATATGAAATAAAAAAAATCGATTTTTTGAATTTCTACACTAGAATACCCCCTAAAAGCGCTATACAATTTTGAGACATGGCCATAAGAAATTTTATTGATTCGCATGTTGTGTTATCAGTTAGACAAATATATATTAACACGTTGACGGACAGTAGGAACAAGCGAAGTTCGAAAATTGACACTATATGTTTTTGTGATTTTAGAATGTTAGAAGTATAGTTTACTCTTTCTGCTTAAATAAACTTAATTTTGATTAATTTAGTACCTTTAATTAGGTTGCGGCTATAACAGCAAAAATTTAAAAACGTAAATGACAGGTTTAATGGTTCAAACAAGCAATTTTGTATGCAACAAAGTATTTTTGGGAGTTTTACACGAAATGTTAGTTCTTAATCAACAAAAATAAATAAATGACAAAAAAAAATTATTATAATTTTATAATGATTATACATTATTTTCGGTATGCCATGTTTCAAAGCATGGTGCAGGACACAGTGCAGGTTTTGACATGCAAGTCTTGCAGCAATATGATGTTTCCTTCCTTATTCCCTGTTTATAACATTGTTTACAGTGCTGAAAATATGTTTTTCGCTGATAATTTCAGGAGGTAAAATTTTCTCAGGAAAATGCTGTGTTCTATTGTTGTTGATTCATTGGTTTGGATTTGTGCACGTTTAAATTGAACCAAAGTTCTTCCATCCCGTTTATTATCTATACCAGTTAGAGATCGTATGATTGCTTCCCTGTACTCTATATACTTCATTTGAGAACCTGTCTTTTCTTTAAAGATGTAGAAAAAATTCCATACTGCTACATCCAGTAGATGAAAGATTACCTTTTCTGTTTAAAGTATAAAATGAACTAGTGGGGTGGGTGGCATCGTGCCTTAAGGCAAATTGCTGGAACTTCCCGTACAGTAACGAAATGTTCGAGGAATACTGAATGTTTTCAAATAGATTATTATAAATATTGTAACATTGTCTAATATTTATAAGAATTATATAAACTGAATTGCAAAGTTGAAATTATTTGTTTCAACAAAAAACTAAAAAAAAAAAAAAAAAAAAATGGAACAAAAATTTTTTTTTCCAAAATCAATTATTTTGTTAAGACAAGCAGAAAGTTTTTTGAATCATTCAAATCGGACGCTTAGTTCTTTCAAAAACTGCCACTTTTTACATATTTACCTTCATATCTTCGAAATGGCTGGCCTGCCTTTGCCAAAAACTAATAAACACTTCTCCCAATCAATACTAATTGATTGTTTTTTAGATCATTCAAGTCGGATACTCCGTTCTCTCAAAAATTCGATTTCTATTTTCCGCACTCTTTGCTCCGTATCTCCGAAACGGCTGGACCTGCCTCTGCCAAAAACTAATCAGCTCTTTTCCCTATTAATAGGAATCGAATGTTTTTTGAACGATTCAAATCGGTTCATCCGTGCGCCCTAAAACGTGACTGGAAATTTGTATCCACACATACATACACACACACACACACACATACACACACACACACACACACACACATCCATTTTTTCTGAAGTATGCCAAAACGTTCAGAAACCTTCAAAACGTCGAGAAATTTTCTGAAGTATGCCAATAACATACCAGTATAGTTATATAAATAATAATAAATATCGTTAAACGTATCAATAAGAACTATAAATTCAATAGAAAACACGATCGCACTACTCCCTTCACAACCATGTGCATACTGAATCTGCAACTCGTATAACAGGTGAAATATGAACTTCAACCTAAAAAGATGTTTTCAAAACACGACACTATGCTTCTACGTATACGCCAGTAAGTGCACATTTGGGCTGCTATAGCCGTAGTGTCTAAAAACGACCGTTTCGTTTTGGACGGCTATAGCAGTCATGCCGCATTGTGAACTTCACTTTGACGGCTACAGCCGCAATTGTCCGTCAACGTGTTAATATTAATTTTGTAGCAATGATACACACACGCAAGTATTTGTTGAGGTGGCGCTTTTTGCTTTTGCACATTTATTATTATTATTATTTACATTTATAACAATGGGCTCAAAAAAGAAAAGGAGGTAAATATTCGAAATTTATCAGGATGACGAGGATAACACATCAATTTTATTGAAGAAAAATGTCTTTATTGTGGTAATAAACGTTTTCAAGTGTTGATTTAACTTATATTCAGAGCACACAAATAATCAAAACAAAAACTCAAAAATGTGAGAACTAAATATAACACATAGTTATATATCAAAATAAAATAAATGCAAAGTATCTTTATAATTCTTTTTCATTTATTTTATTTTAATATCAAATTAAAAAAAAAATTGTTATATAACTATGTATGTCAGCTAAATTCTGAACCAGTGGTTGCTAATCCACTGGTTAATACTTATCATAAAAAAATCAAAATATGAAAAAAAATTATAAAATAATATATTATGTAACAATTGCCTTGTTTATCAATAAATGCATATAATTAAATGTTTACTGTATATTTCATACAAATTGTACATTACATGCAAGAATACTTTATGACAAATATTTAAATTCAATTTAACAAATAGTTTAGATTCATTGATTTTCATCACGCTCCCAACTACGTCTCATTTAAATTGCCTGATTGATTAAATTCCTTATTGCATATTTCACATTTGCAACGCTCTCCTTTACGAATAAGCATGTGCCGTTTCAAGCTTCATAATTGTGTGAATGTCTCACTGCATATTTAACATTTATAAGGTTACTCTCTGTTATGAATCAGCATGTGCTTCTTCAGATTATATAAATATGCAAATGTCTTATTGCATTGATTGCACTCATGGGGGCGCTCACCAGTGTGAATGAGCATGTGCCTTTTCAGATGGCTTGAACATATAAATGTCTTTTTGCAAATATTGCACTCATGGGGGTTCTTATCGCTGTGAATGAGTATGTGAGATTTCAGAGCCCCTGATTGTATGAATGTCTTCTTGCATATACTGCATTCATAGGGACGCTCACCACTGTGGATGAGCATGTGAGATTTCAGATCTCTTAATTGTTTGAATGTCTTATTGCATTGATTGCACTCATGAGGCCGCTCACCAGTGTGAATGAGCATGTGCCTGTTCAGATGGCTTGAATATGTAAATGTCTTTTTGCAAATATTGCACTCATGGGGACGCTCACCGCTGTGAATGAGCATGTGAGGTTTCAGAGTACTTGAATGTGTGAATGTCTTTTTGCATACACTGCATTGATAGGGACGCTCACCACTATGAACGAGCATGTGTTTCTTCAGATTGTCTGAATATGTAAATGTCTTTTTGCAAATATTGCACTCATGAAGGCGCTCACCAGTGTGAATGACCATGTGCCTGTTCAGATTTCTTAAAAATCTGAATGTCTTTTTGCATATATGGCATTCATAGGGACGCTCACCACTGTGAATGAGCATGTGTCTTTTCAGATTACCTAATTGTATGAATGTGTTCTTGCATATACTGCACTCATGGGAGCGCTTACCACTGTGAATGAGCATGTGTCTTTTCAGATTAGTTACAGTTATGAAAGCCTTATTGCATATACTGCACTCATGGGAGCGCTTACCACTGTGAATGAGCATGTGTCTTTTCAGATGAGTTACAGTTATGAAAGCCTTATTGCATATACTGCACTCATGGAGGCGCTCACCACTGTGAATGACCATGTGTGTTTTCAGCTGGTAAAATCGTTTGAATGTTTTCTTGCATACATTGCATTCATGACGACGTTCATCACTATGAGTGAGCATGTGAGTTTTCAAACACTTGATTGATTGAAAGTCTTCGGACATTTCACATTTGTAAGGACGTTCTTCACTAGGTTTAGGCATATGATCAACCATATGTTTTGTTAGATGATGCGATTCTGCAAATGATTGATTACAATGTCACAATCATAAGACTCCTGTTTGACTTCGTCTTCAATTGTCACCTCGGAATTCATGAATCTTTCTAAACACGTGTCATTATCCTCAGAACACGATTCAGATTTAACAATAGCATTAGGGACATCAAATTCATTATCATTTTCGCTTTTAATGTTTTCAGCTGAATATTCTGGTGGTTCAATTTTAATTGCCAAATCATTGTTATACATAATTGTTTCGTCTGACATTTTTAATGCTTATACTCACTAAATATTTACGAAATAATTCTTACGAAATAATAATCTAATCAATGCTTTAAAATATTACATATTTCAACTAAAATTTAATTCATTATTTGACAAGTGAAGCATAGAGCAATGCTTTTAGAAAGATGAGACGTTTACCAAAGCGCGTTGATATTTAGTAAGTGGCACCCTTTTCAAATGCATTATCCATAGTTAAACAAATATAAATTGGCATTATCGTTCTTTATGTCTGAACTGGCAACAAACGTCTTTATTATTAATTCCAAAATGATTATTACCTAGACAATAGGGAACGGGCAAGCTCATAAAAATGTCAGTGAAAACGCCATGACTTCTCGGGGTGGCGAAAAAGTGCAAACAAGGATTCCAAACAAGATGGCGTTTGACAGGTTTTATTTCGTATTTTGACAGGTTTTATTCAAACTTATGTGCTTGTTAAAGATGGTTATTGCTTCTTATAATCGCAATTTTTATTTATTCTAATAATAATGCGGCATATCTGAGTCACCAATCATGTGCGTAATATTAAGTGAAGAAGCGCATGAATAAGAAAGTGAATTTTGTTATAATTAACGTTAGAAGAAATAAATTGCTTCGTTGGATAGATTCATTGAGGTATGTACTCATAATTAAAATGTATTTGCTATTGACCACCATATTAAAACAAACATGTGTTGCTTAAAGGTATGATGAAATTTTCAGACAAGGCCATAAGATATTTTATGATTTGCATGTTGTGTTATCAGCTGAACAAAGTTTAGATCTTTCTATTAGTACTTTGTTGCAGAATGAATCTCATATTTGATAGGATGTCAGGACTTACAGATTTCTACACTGCAATTTGATTTGATTAATTGTTTTGTATTATTGCATTACTGCAGGTATGTTTTGTTTTATTGCATAAAAAGTATTACTTTTAAAAGTTTTAGGAAGCTATTGTATCAGTAAATGCACGGTTGAAGAATTTCTCCAAAATTTTATACCGATGAGCAGTATTTGCTAATATTGATAGAAGAGGGTCTCCTCCATAGATTGGTAATTTTTGTGTGAATTTAATATTACATACCTGTTAAAATTTTATACTTTAAATTATATGCTCTCAATGTTTTTTCTTTCAGATTAATTTAGGTACATATAAGAAGTATTCATCTTTGATTTCCAAAAGCTTTCAATTTATGTATTACATATAACATTTATGTACAGTTATATTATTATACAAGCTAACAGTCATGCTACATATATATTTAATCTAATATAAATTAACATTTCTTTCATTTACCATCCCCATCTTATCCAATAATGAAAGTTTGAAGATTCACCAAATAGGACATAAAAAAACAATATTTTCACCAGAAAATTGATAGTCCTTTGGTATATTACATAGAAGTTTTTAAAATTTTCATTCTGTGTATGACTCATTCTACATGTATACGCACACTAGCTTCAAAGTGAGTTTAATTAATATCTCCTGGTGAAAATAATCCGTTTTAAATTTAATTTTAAACAAATAGCATATGCACAAGTACTGCTATATTTATTAATTTGTCTAACTCAGTCCATATTGATGAAAATCCTGACTATAAAGTACAATTAAAAACTTTGTCTTTTTTACTCATGAATTTACCTTTGTCAGTTAATACAGCACATCCAGATTTTACTTTTTTTTATTACGCCCGAGAGTACATTAATTTGGGTTGGAGTGATTCTGCCTAAGCCCACATTATTAACAAATGAAATAAAGCCATCTGGAGTGCAAATAAATAAGAACCTACTTTCAAATACCCTGGAAACTACCAACGAATGAATCTGAAAAGTAAAACCTAAAGCAATATAACTAATTTCTAACTTTCATAATTAGTGTTTTCTAAGAATCAAACTCACAAATGGATTTTTAATAATGTTTTTATGCATGTAAATATGATCATTTAAGCAAATATTGATTTAATTTACTAAAGCCTCTTCAAACTTTGAACTTTCAATATTTTTTCTGATTGAATATCCTTCCTGAATGTAATAGTATGCATATTGGTAGTAGCAAACAAAATTTATTTTGAATTTCATTATTCTTACCTCTGTTATTGTAAAATCATAAAAAATAAATGATGAAAATATGTAAGAAATATGAATTATTAAATGTTTAACCTAAAAATGCACGTTTTACGTCAAAACAAATATAGTGACAGCAAATTCAACTCATAAATGTGTCATCCGCCATATTTGTTGGAATCCAAGTTGCACTTAAAATCCGCTAGAGGAGAGCTTGCCCGTTCCCTATATAATCAGTTTGGTTCAGTTATCAAGCAAGTGGCGCGTCTTTTCAAATTCTTTATGGTTAACTATGTCTCTACTGCTAAAAACAAACTCTCTGCTTGAAATGTCAAATAATCAATATAATTTAAGTTGATATCATTTAGTATATTTTAGAAGATTGTTGATTAAAGTAGATTCTTTAGAATACGAATATTTTTTAGATATTTAGTAAGTACAAGTAATGAAAGTATTTCAAAATGTCAGAAGAAACATTTAAGTCTATGAATGATCAAGCAATTAAAATTGAACCACCAGAATATTCAGCAGAGGACATTAAATATGAAATTGAGGATGAATTTGATGCTCCTGATGCCATTGTTGAATCTGAATCGTGTTCTAAGGACGATGATACGTGTTTAGAAAGATTCATGAACTCCGAGGTGACAATTGAAGATGAAGTCAAACAGGAGTCTTTTGACTGTGACATTTGTAATCAATCATTCGCAGAATCACATAATCTAACAAACATATGGTCGATCACATGCCTAACCATAGCGAAGAACGCCTTACAAATGTGAAATCTGTCAAAAGGATTTCAAAAAATCAGCTGCTTTGAAAAAACACATGCTTACTCATAGCGATGAACGTCATTACAAATGTGGAATGTGTGAAAAGACTTTCAAACAATCAAAAGGGTTGAAAAGACACATAAAAATACATTCTGAAGAACGTGTCTTTGAATGCAATGAATGCGATAAGACATTCAGATATTCAAGTAATCTGAAAAATCACATGTTGATACACAAAAGGGTATACCCTCCTCAATGCACTATATGCAAGAAGACATTTCGTCGATCAAGTAATCTGAAAACCCACATGGATATACATAGAGGAGTACGCTCCCATAAATGCTCTATCTGTAATAAGACATTCACACAAACGAGTAGTCTAAACAGTCATATGCTCATTCACAGTGGTGTGCGCCCCCATGAATGCAACATTTGCAATAAAACATTCACTGAATCAGGTGCTCTGAAACGTCACATGCTTATTCACAATGGAGTTTACCCTTATAAATGCAGTATATGCAATAAGACATTCACACGATTGGGAACTCTGAAAAGTCACATGCTCCTTCACAATGGTGAGAGCCCCCATGAATGTAAATTATGCAGTAAGACATTCACAGAATTAGGTAGTCTGAAACGGCACATGCTCTTCATTCACAGTGGAGTACGTGCCCATAAATGCGATATTTGTAATAAGACATTCACAGAATTAGGTAGTCTGAAAAGTCACATGTACCTTCACAGCGGGGTGAGCCCCCATGAATGCGATATATGTAATAAGACATTCACACGATTAAGTATTTTGAAAAAACACAAACTGATTCATAATGAAGAGCAGGAGTATTTTGAAGAAACACATGGCACTTCATAATCGGAAGAGTGAAGAAAATCCATGAAATCTTAACATATTTGTTATATTGAATTTAAATATTTAAAAACATAAAATATTCTTAAATCCAAAATGTTCTATTCTTAAATATAAAAATAGTATGAAATATAGAGTAAACATTACATAATATATATTTTTTTGATAATCAAGGCAATTGTTACATATAAAATTATTTTATATATTTTTTTTTAAATTTTGATTTTTATAAATTAAGTATTAATAAATAGAATTAGTGATGAGCCGATGCGAAAATTTCAAATGATAAAAGTGATATAATTTACTAAAATTAATCATTGCTTTTTCCTATGTTAGAAAAACAAGTTATTAAATTATTCAGATATAAATATTTTTTAAATTTTTAATCAATATTCTTTTTAACGCACTATTTCCAATTGCTAATGATTAGTGAATTAGATTTAAAAAAAATACTATTATAAAAGTTGATATTTAGATCAGATTGTGAATTAGATTTAAAAGAAATACTATCAAGAAAGTTGATATTTAGATTAGATTGTAAATTAGATTTAGAAGAAATACTATTATGAAAGTTGATATTTAGATTAGATCATGAATTAGATTTAAAAAAAATACTATTATGAAAGTTGATATTTAGATTAGATTGTGAATTAGATTTAAAAAAAAAATACTATTAAGAAAGTAGATATTTATATTACATTGCGAATTAGATTAAAAAAAATACTATTATGAAAGTTGATATTTAGATTAGATTATGAATTAGATATAAAAAAAATACAATTATGATAGTTGATATTTAGATTAGATTGTAAATTAGATTTAATAGAAATACTATTATAAAAGTTGATGTTTAAATTAGATTATGAATTAGATTAAAAAAAAGACTATTAAGAAAGTTGATAATTAGATTAGATTGTGAATTAGATTTTTAAAAAATACTATATGAAAGTTGATATTTTGATTAGATTTCATTAGACATTTACATTAGGTTTGAATTGAGTGAAAAACCATGGACTATGACTTTTTGAAAAGAGTGAAATATATTTAACAAATATATATATTTGACCCTGCTCTTAATTTGTAATATAATTATTTTATTTGATAATATAATGATGTCAGAAATAAAATAATATAAATAGATAATAAGAATAATATAGATCAGAAATAATATAAAAGATAATGATGCAAAAAGAAATAAAATAAGAGAAAAAATGCAATGTTTGTCATTGTGAAAATAAACGATAAAAATTGCGAAATACTGTCTTATTATTTCATATCTCTTAAAAGTTATCACACAGAAAAATAAGTCTGTATTTATCATTTTATGAATAGTCTGTATTTCTCAATGATATCCATAAATTATCACTAAACTATAATATATATATATATATATATATATATATATATATATATATAATATATATGTGTGTATATACACACACATACATATATATATATATATATATATATATATATATATATAGGGTATCCCAGAACTCAACGTCAAGCCGAAACTGAGAGATAGTATTGATCGTAACTATCATGAAAAAAATTATATTAAAAATTATGAGCTTCCCAGTGCAACTCAACGCTCAAGCCATCATTTTTCGATTATTATGGTCATTTTTTTATTAATTCTTTTAATTTAATCTTTAGACCCGTAACCGTAAATAACATATCTAGGACCACGGTTAAAAATAATATCACAATCGGCGCAAGTTTTCTACAATTAGGATTATTTGGTAAACTATGAATCTGGTTTGTTAGGACACTCTTATTTTTGGAACTTGAAAATGGGTTCCTGGAAACAAAGATTTAGTAACAATCACTATCTAAATTTCAAGAAAGTTATAAGATAGACAATTTTAACTTACACTTTTTGTATCTTATCAGCTCCGTTCAGATCCGCCTCAAGATAATTTTCATTTGTATTTTTTTTTACAAATAACGATTAGCATTTGTGCAAATTGGTTGGCGCGGATACAAATAAAAGTGATAAAGTATTAAATATATTGCATTGGTTGAATTTATATATTTATATAAGTATAATAATTAAGATTTATGCAATTAATCTTTTGAAATGGGAGGATATTTTTTAATTATTTTCATGTAAGTATTTTGAATAATTATTTTATAAATTTAATTTTAAAAATAATTATGATCAAATTTTGATTTATCACATCCCAAAGCGACTTTTGACACAATTTTTTTCAAATTTTGAAATTTTTTTTAAATTGAACGACTTCAAAGATAAAAAATCGGCTCACACATATACACACATACTTTTTCCAAATTTGGTCTCATTCGATTCATATTGTCGAGAAAACATAAAATTGGCAAATCGGATTTCTGATGAAAATAAACTTTTTCTGGCAGTTAATAATACAGTGTAAACTGTTTTAAAACTATAGAGTTTAAAATTTATAGAATTTTTAGAATATATAACAAAATTATAACAAAACAATATAACAAAATTTATAGAATATATTCTATAAATTTTGTTCTTTTGGGTCTAAGAGGGTGAGTGATCGTCACCCAATTAGACCCAAGTGAATTTATTTGGATGAAATAATAAGAAATAAAATTAGATGAGAAATTATTCATGATTATATTTGTTACCAGGGCCGTTCCTGCCTTGCATCCGATGCATGCAAAAAATGCGGGCGCACGCCTTAGGGGGCGCCAAAACGAGTTTCGGAAATTAAATTTATATTATTTATATTTTTTATTATTTATATAAAATCTAGAATACTTGATAAATTATAATGAGTACTCTAACTGAACTATAGATACGGAGACTGCAATGTGATATTAGTAGAAACAATTAACCTATTAATTACTCTGCAAATGAGTAAATAACAACTCTGTTTATTGCTTAATCTAAACTTATTCAATTTTTTCTTTTGTTTGAAGTTACCATGGAATCGAAAAAGAAATTATCTAGTTTGCCCATAAGCGCAAAGCTGCGAAAGATTAAATTAATTATTGGGCATTATTGACGAAAAACTACGAGCTGATTTTGTTGAAACAGAACTTGTTAAAAAATATAAATAAATTATAATCGGGAAAATAAAAAATGGGGAGTCATTTCTTAGAAAATGGCATGTTTATTCCGAAAAATTGAATTGTAACTTTTGTTTTTGTTGCAAATGTTTCGCATCTGATGAACTTTGAATGTTAAAGACATGCGTGGTTAGAGTTATGGAAATGAAACAAATATGAAAAATGAAAGCAAAATTTACTTTGGAACGAAATTCTTAAGGCTTTTTTTATACCTTGTGGTGTCCATACTCTAAACTTGATAATTATTAACTCTGCAGAAATAATACATATCAAATATAATTAGTTTTTTGTCAATATAGTTCAAGAAATGAGTATTTTCTTTGCATTTTTTACTCATTTTTGGACAATACTTCTAAAATAAAAAAATAATAATAAAATTTAACTTTAAAACAACAATCTGATAATCTGAATATAACGAGAAAGCAAGGATGAATACAATTC